TGCTGCTGCTGCTGCTGCTGCTGCTGCTGCTGCTGCTGCTGCTGCTGCTGCTGCTGCTGCAGATACTGCAGCAGGAGCTGCTGCTGCTGCTGCTGCAGATACTGCAGCAGGAGCTGCTGCTGCAGTTGCTGCATTTGCTGCAGCAGCTGCTGCAGTTGATCATTTCTTTTTTGTCGTTTGTCGCAACATATTTTAATTTAATTAACTAATTAATTAATTAATTTATTTTATTTATTTATTTATTTATTTATTTAATTTATTTATAAATAAATAAAAACAAATTAAAATTAAGAGGGTTTATATAAATAAAAGAAATAACCGCTGCGCGATGGCGGCAACACCGAGGTGTATAGACACGCCATTCTATCGGGTTTAGGGTTTAGGGTTTAGGGTTTACTAGAAACAAGGGTTTCGAGCGCTGTATTCGGCTGCAGACACTCGTTCCTTATTAGGGTTTAGGGTTTACGGATTAGGGTTTAAGCCTTAGCATTATGCTTAAGACTTGCGGATGAGGGTTTACGGATTAGGGTTTACGGATTAGGGTTTACGGTTAAGGGTTTAAGGATTAGGGTTTGGCCGTAGAGGATATCCAAACCCTTTTTGTTAATGTTGATTGGATATTAGGGTTTATAATATAGTCTATACAAAAATAAGGGTTTAGGGTTTAATTAGGGTTTAGGGTTTAGGGTTTTGTACAAGATCCTCAAACCCTTCTTGCTCAATCTGATCAGCTAATTCAATTCCTCCTGTTTGTACAATTCTTCCTGCATGCATTATATGTACTTTATGGGGCTGGAGGACCTCTAGTAACTTTTTATAATGTGTTGTTACTAAGAAGGATGCATTGCTTGTGCTTGCTGCATACATATACACATAAACATAAAAGGACAAAGGGTTTAGGGTTTAGGGTTTAGGGTTTAGGGTTTAGTGAGGGTTTAGGGTTTAGGGCTTACTACCATAAGCCATGATAGTCTTAGCAACAATATTAAATGTATCAACATCTAGACCTGAATCAAGTTGATCATGTATCTCTACTAATCTACTAATTAGGGTTTAGGGTTTAATTAGGGTTTAGGGTTTAGGGTTTATTAGCATAAACCTTAATAGCCTTGGATACAGTATTGAATGCATCAACATCTAGACCTGAATCAACTTGATCATGTATCTCTACTAATCTACTAATTAGGGTTTAGGGTTTGGGGTTTAATTAGGGTTTAGGGTTTAGGGTTTAATTAGGGTTTAGGGTTTAGGGTATAATTAGGGTTTAGGGTTTATTACCATAAGCCTTAATAGCCTTGGATACAGTATTGAATGCATCAACATCTAGACCTGAATCAACTTCATCAAGAAGAGCTAATGAGGGTTTTAGTACTAACATCTGCAGCATCTCATTCCTTTTCTTTTCTCCACCACTAAATCCGTAATTTAATGGACGACGTAAGAAGGATAATGGTAAATCTACAAGCTGTATACAACAAAAATAACATAATAAATATAATACAATCAAGGGTTTACACTTTATTATTCAAATTCCCCTTCAAAAATAACCCCAAAACCATAAAAATCCAAAAAAAAAAAAAATTAGGGTTTAGGGTTTAGGGTTTAGGGTTTAGGAATTTTTTTTTTTTTTTTTTTTT